TCCCTTAAAAGACTCAGGTGTCTTATGAAGATTTCCTCCATTTAAAAAAAAAGGTTAGGTTTAGGTTAGGTTCGCCAATTTTCTATCAAAATTTTAGATAAATAGATAAATAGATAGATAGGTGAATAGATCTTTGTGCAACGATATTTCCTTAGAACGCATAATGTAATGCCAGAGTTACGAGACACTCGAACAGCCTGTACTTCGTTACGAGCTTTTAATTCAGTAAAAACGTGAGCGCACACGATGGCCAGACCATGAGCGTGTACATGCTGTCTAATCCTATTACGGCCGCTATCGCACTTAGCCTCATTTAATGATCCTAAACGTCTCGGGGCTGGATTTACGAGCTGCTAGTCGTGTCTTGCCACGCGCGAGATCGGCCGTCGTCGCGAGTAAATACACCATTGTAACGTGGCGTCCAATCGGGCCAGCTTGTGCGATTGAAACTGGTGTTATAAAAAGGTTTATAGTTGACGAGTCTGACCTTTGACAGATTACCTGCCGTTTCGTTCGCGCGACCAACGTCCCGTGAAAAATCATCGTAAAAAATCGGTGTGCACGAGCGAATAGGAGATGCGAGAATGTTCGAACGCTTCACGATCGGAATTTTATTGATCACGTATCGCTACATACAGCTACTGTCGCGATTATTTTAATACGAATCTCGAAACGCGCAGTTAATTGAAGTTTATTAATACAACGGACGACCGTGTTTCGCCCCATTCGCGAAATACTGCTTCCCGTCAAATTATCGACGATTTGTCTTAATTTCGGAAATGCGTTTGCCTGAGCAAGGGAGGATGACGTTAACCTGGTTACGAAAATCGCAAATACGATCTAAATCAATGACAGTCACTTCTGGAAGCGATTAATGTACAATCTCGGTGTATCGTTTCGCCAGTTACCATACTGCATCCACCACGGCTCCTGTTCCACCTTGGCATAAAGGTTCTTCCATCTTTGAAGCGAGATTGCGCGTCAGCCGTGAAAGGTAGCGGAGTTCGAGCGTGTCGCAGCGTGAAATTATCAGGTGATTAAAGTGGAACCGGAGATCGGTTTACCGGAGAGGCGAGTTCAACCAGACACTCGGAGTTTCGAAACAACTCTGGACATGATTTCGTCGCCGCTGCCTGCGTTTCTTCTGCAAGTCTCCCGATTTGCTAATATTTCAAGTTTCAAGGGGATAATCATCCTCGGGGGAAATTGAGAAATGACATGAGTAGTAAGTAAAGTCAGCTAATGGAGAAAAGTTCACAAGCTACAAAGGGATCGGTGCGGAGTTTAGTTCCAAGATGCTTTGGTGGACAGAGCTCGAAAGACAGGCAAGCTCCGTTTCACTTCACTTTGTGATTCGTCATTCAAAGAATCCCCGTGGATTTTTATATGAGGATTCTCGAGAATTCTCGTAAATACGAAGGCGCACGGAATATAAAAATGAAATAATAGAACTCTACTTCCTCGGTCACAGTAACGAGTCACATCGATATATTTCGGCATATATTTCGACAATTAACTCAAGCAGGAATTCGTATTCGACGAGAATTCAGTTCATCGCTCGTTAAAGCGAATTTCGTTTTAATAAATGAGGCTCCAAAATTTGCTTAAAACTTTGGACTCAACCTGTTTCTAATTTCTATTGTGGAATCTTTCGAATCTGAAATTTTGTAACTTGAACGTTGAATCATTAATAACAACAGAAATTCGAGAAACAGAAACTGATAAAAAAGACAACTCTTAAAAAAAGGGTACGTTTTCAAAGCAGTATCGTTGGACAACGAAAGAAAAATTTCGAGAGAGAATTAACGACGGCCAGCTTGGAACGAAATCGACTTTACTCTAGGTGAATCGCAAGTTTTCACGAACTGTACGAATTTGCTGAATTTCTTCCGCCAAAGCAATAATTCTGCACATGTTTCGCAAACATGAGAGATTGCATTGTCTTTGGCGGATCGAAGCATGGCAACGATGAAATACGCTTTTGCTATTATGCAGTTGAAAAAAAGTGCGTTGTTTGTAGTCGAGCGCTGGAAATGTTCGAGTATGGAATTACGTCGGCGCCCTTTTAATTAGATGAAGCGCGCAAATAAATCGAACGATATCTTCCGATGCTGCCGCGTTTTCACGTCGTTCTCCCTCCGAGTCGAATATTTACATCTCGTCAGAGAATTTTCCTCGATTGGAAAAAAAAAAATTAATGTCGTTAATTACTATCTCTATCGATTGACGGTGAAACACTTTAAGATTTTAGAAGACACTTTAGAAGATTATCTCGTGATTGGGTTACTTTGATTAAAGAAGGCTTCTTCTTCGTCGAGATTGAAGCAAGATTGGCGTGAAAAATTAGAAAAAGGATCGCGGAAGACGCTTTAAAAAATTTTTCTAATATTCTCGAAACGTAATTCCACCGTGATTGTGTGTCAAAAGATCAAATAATTTTATGTTTAATCCGAGGGAACGTAGTCCGAGGAAACTCGCGGTTTCACTTAGCCCTGGCTTAACGCAGGCTTGATCCCTTAATGATCTTAACTCTAGCTAGATTCAGCAGTACACTGGGTCATAAGGATCAAGAGAAGAAGTATCTGATATCTTCCTCGTCATTGTTTACCAAATGTTGCTACTCTGATCATTGCTAATTCTTCTTTGTATTTTACGATTCTCTCGAAATCCTTACTAATCTTAAATCTTTTTGGTTTCGCGCCATTAAATTTATGGGAACATAAAGACTCACGAGCATCCGTTAATTTAGTCCATTTCATATCATCTAAACAGAAATGCAGTTACACATACTGTCGAAGTTCCACGACATTGTATGATTTTCATATTTTATTGAAACTTTTTCAACGCGTTCTGCAGTGTCTCAGAAATGTATAAAAAAATATATCCAGTGATTTCATCGCCAGTTAAATAGTATTCACTGTCAAAACTGGGTATTCTTTCTTCAGTGCATGCTCCAATTTCTAGCAGTTTAAAGCTAGCAAAGCCATTGCAGGCTTAATCGAAACAGAATTATCGATTCTGATGAACTCAGTTCGCAGCTGCTACGGTAATTTATGCATTAAACAATCACAAAATTATTTACCAGAAGGGTAAATTTAATTTTCACGACACTCCATCCTCTAAGCTTAAAACGCATACAAAATCCACAAGAATATTTTCATAATTCATATGGGCCAGTGATAATTTAATAATCCTGTTATATCTACTACACTTCTGCGGCATATTTAATCCCCTCGATATTATATCATACATTATATATTCTTCGTAATTAAGCCTCTCGAAAGCCAAGCTGACCGACTCGAAGCTGCGCTTTAAACGAAAGTTGTCTTCAATTTCGTTGACCAGATGCATAATCAATATCACAGTGTGTAAATAACTGCGTTCGTCATTTTTTTTTTCTTTTCATTATGTTCTGATTTACATGATTAATCCGATTAGACTTCCGAGAGACACAATTAACAAGGCGGAACGAAACTTAATATTGGACCAGTAAATCTGAAACTTCAAACAAAACGGTGCACGTCGCGTGCACCGACCTCATTATTAATACCCTACACAGTAATAGCACACAGTGTTATTATTTTATTGTTTCCCAAAGAGTCACGGAGGCGACCTCTTACTCGACGAGAAGTCCCTGCAAGGGCCAAGCTTGTTTCCACCTTGACGTGCACCACGTCACGAAGGAGCAAAGGTGGAACGAAACGGCTCAGCCCACGCACAGGCGAACAACATACGCGAGAGGCGTTCGCCACCGAGCCGATGTCGATGAAATTACAAACACTCGAGCAACCTGTGGGCTGGTTCACCTGCTGGTAGAACCACACGAGCACGAAATAGAAAAAGATTGAAAGTACAGTGGCGATGAAAGTCCTCTGTTTAACGAGGTCACGTAGCGCCGCCGTTACTCTTTCAGTAACAGACAGAGGCGTGCGACAGAAATGCACCCTTCCTTTCCCTTCTCCCCTTCCGCCCCTAGAAATTATTGTAGTAGCTAGGAATTATTGATAACGCTTTTGTATAACGCACGCGAAGGCGTAAGCAGCGGGGCTCTCATTATCACTGTCCTCGGCCGGCGCTCATCATCCGAGAAATCCCTCGTTTCATGCTTGTTAAACTACCGTGCCACGACCACCTCTCTTCGTCATCCTCTTATGTATTGTTAGCTTGGTAGACACGGTCGTTCGCGTGGAAGCTTGCGAAAGCTCAAATATAAGTTTGAAAATAAAAGTTTCGAGAAATGTTTGAAATGTTCCAGAGTTCTGCAAGTCTCGAATCGACTTCCTCTCGTATTTTGCGTCAGCTTCGATATATATATATATATATATATATATATATATATATATATATATATATAATTAGTTTCCATGAAGGTGAATCAACGAGAAGATAGAAGATGCATGGATACGTAAACTTGCAAAATACAGTGCAAATTTCGAAGCGTCGACTGTTTTCGTTCTTCGACTCTCGTATCTCGCAGCGTAGTAGGTAATTATTACCTCGCCTACGTAGTACCTACGAATCAAATATAAAATAAACTCCCGGAGACTGCATCACGCCCGGGTTTACGCCGTTAACCTCGTTCTTCTTATCTTCCTTCCGAAAAGAAGACACTTGACTCTCTTGGATATGAAAAACACGTGTCCCCGGGGAGCAATTTCCCTCGGTAGCAGCGGTTCCAATGTACCTGCGAATCATTTCCCCATTTACCCCGTCGTTCCGCCCCATTTGCTCCGAGCGACTTTCGCCTAACGCTTCTAAACCTTCTTTTCCAATTTCCAGCGACATCGAGGCTCCAACCGAAGGAACAAGGCGTTGAAACGAGCGGGGACCGCGACTTCAAGATGTGAAACGCGACGATCCATTGTTCGCGGAACAGAGGAGAGAGACCAGGTTGAAGCAGATCTTCGCCGAAAGGGACGACCAAGGGGAAAATCGTCAAACGATGTTGAAGGCTCGAGCCACCGTTTCTCCGTCTCCGTTCCTGTCGTGGTCCACATGGGCCACGCCGTCGGCGTCCAGCGTGTTCAAGGTCACGTCGGCGGCAACCTCGCAATACGCGAGCATCGGAAGCGTGATCGATCAGATGATGACGGAGGAGAGCGAGGAGTCGGCGAACGCCGAGGAGGAGTACACGCCGTACGAGGAGCGACCGGAAACTTACATCGTGCCGATCGTGTTCCTGCTGATTCTCGTGATCGGCCTGACCGGGAACGGCGTGCTCGCGCTCACTATACTGCGGCACAGTAACATGAGAAACGTTCCCAATATTTACGTCTTCTCGTTGGCGCTAGGTGATCTCTTGGCACGTGTTCACTCTCTTATTCAGATTTATCCCATGAATTTGTGACTGGCTCGCGGGAACGATCGTTGCTCGTTCCTTCCTTTCATCGTCGTGGAACTCTCCTCTCTCACCTTATTCCAAGGCGACACAGTTTTTCTCTCTCTCTGTCTCTCTCTTCTTTTTAGACAGATTCATCTCTTTACGTATTTTCTTCGCGCGATCGTCAGTTTTTCAAGTTAGAGGTAAGATTGGGTTGTTTGAGTTGAAACGGACCGGCGAGAGCGAAAAAGTACGAAGGGCAAAAGTATTGACAGAGAGCGAAGAAGAACGGGGAAGATTCTTTATTCAATCTCACTTCCGTTTTAAAGCGTTTCGAGTGAAAGTTCTTTTTATCATTCCGATCAGTCGCGAGTTTGCACCGGGATCGATTTTTCAGCTACCGTCCCGTTTTAGTCTCTCGGTGCGGACTTTGCGATTGAATTTCAAAATGTTGAAGCTTTGCTCGAATAACTCTCTATTTTATTACAATACATACAGAAAAAGAAAAAGAGAAAGAGAGAGAGAGAGAGAGAGAGAGTTCTCGTTAAGCTCTCGAGAGTCCTTTCTTTTTCCATGATCCCTTCCTCTTTCATTTAAGAAAACGAGCAAGTGATTAATGCACACAATAAAGAATCTTAATGAATATTTCTCCCGGCTCGGTCAGAATTTCACTCGCAATCAGCCTGGAGTTGAAATTGTTGTTGAAAAAGAAAAAGAAAAAAAAAACACCTATTCGTAATTAAATCATTGACGACTCTTTTTCTAAGACTGTTTGCTTCGATGTTACGCTGCAGGTGATTATCACGTGCGTGCCGTTCACGTTCACCGTGTACATTCTGGACTCTTGGCCTTTCGGGCCTCTGCTTTGCAAGTTTTCCGAGTGCGTCAAAGACGTCTCCGTCGGGGTCTCCGTCTTCACGTTGACGGCGCTGTCCGCCGACAGATTCTTCGCCATCGTCGATCCAATGAGAAAGCTTCACACCACCGGTACGATCTTCGATTTTCTATCTCCTCGTCCCTCCGGAGCCCGGAATCTCTGCGATTAAGAGCGAGAGCGTGTGAGTTGAGAAGAGGCTGCCCCGTTGTAGAACTTTTGTCGTGCTTAAGAAAAGAATCTAGAAAGTTTCAGTCTTCAGCAGGCGAATATATACATGACTGAGATTTAGAAATTAGACAAAATTGTAACAATGGTTTGGAGTTTCTTATTTGGGATTGCAATTGAAAGAATTTAGTTGATCAATCGGATTGAAATTTTCGAGCAGGCGCGCGACTAGAACTGAATTAATAATTTAGAGTTAAGAATTGAGTTGAGAATTGTCGCGAATGTTCGAAAAACGTCTGAGAAGATTGATACGTCTGACTTCTTAATCAGGCGAACGAACAAATGAAGAAAAATATCTGAAGGACACGTAACTCTAGACTACGTGTAAAAACATCAAAGACTAATATACTCTTTACTTTTAACCCTCTTACGATTCATTCCACTCGTGTTAAAAAAAAAAAAAAAAAACATTTCGCGGTCAACTTGGAGAAATTGCAAGCAATAACAAAATGAAGAAAAGAAAAAAAAGAAAAGAAAAGAAAAAAACGTTTTACGGATAGATTTTCAACTCGAAGTGGCGTATTTCCCTCTCGCTTTGAAAGCGTTTCGCACATCTCACTTCGGCCGCAGATGAAACTGTACGCGCTCAAAGGAGATCACAGTCGAATTCGCCCCTCTTCGTGCTCTCGCGGAAGCGAATGATGCTCCTTGATATTCCGAGTGTCCCATAAAAAGAAACTGTTCGAGCGGATATAGATATTGTCGACGTAACGTCGGCCACGTTGACGACTTTTATTGTTCAAGGTACGGGGAGGCGAGCGACGCGTTTCACGGTGATCGTCGCCGCCATGATTTGGCTGTTGGCCATTATGTGCGCCATACCGGGCTCCTTCTCCTACATCAAGGTTTTCAAAGTGAACAGCAACGTGAGCTTCAGCGTAAGTCCCTTTTGCTGAAACAATTAGTTTGATCGATCGTATATACGCAGTAATACGCTCCTCCTCGCCTCGTCAATTTCTGTTCCTCTTCCTGTTTTCCTTGGCAACAACCAGCCAATCGTCGCTCCACTTTGTTACGTCCAAGTATTATACACAACGCGATGTATATATTTAAGAGAGGTTTCCTACTCTGGTTTAAATCGAGATATGATTCGAAGGCCTGCTACCCGTATCCAGTGGAATTCGGGCCGAATTACCCAAGGACGATCCTGGTCTGTCGGTTCTTCATATTCTACGCGGTGCCGCTTAGTATCATTGCTTTCTTCTACATTCTCATGGCCAGGCACCTGATGCACAGCACTAGGAACATCCCCGGCAAGATGCTGTGCCAGGTGAGTGGAACAGCAACGAGAAAGATTTTCGAGACGAAGGAGGATTATTCTTGAAGGTGAGCTTCAAGTGCTCATCACTAATTCATCGTTAATTCAAGTAATGGACGAGCACGTTACAGGCAAGAATTGTAAGATTGAATTATTCAAATAATTACGCCAATGTAATTTGGCCTTTTAAATTAAATATCTGGTTCTAGTGATATAATTCCAGGTATATTCCCAAGTGACAGATATCCCATTGCCAAAAATTTCAAATTTAAATTTAACAATTAAGAAATAAGATATTAGTGAATATTGTTATATTAGTCTGCCGATGATTTTCTTGCTCCCTTAAAAGGCATGAAATAAACGAAATCTCGTCTATTTTCGAAATTTTATGAGAACTACCGACGACCAAGGCATAAAATCTCCATCGTCAGACGAAGACGTTGAAGTAGAAAAATATTTTATAATAATAGGATGCACAGGCTTTTATTTTACAAATAGTCGTTCTGTCGGTAGTTTCTAGCGTTGAAAACAAAATTCAAGCACGGAGGCGTCGCTTGCCTGGAACCTGAAAGAAGCTAAAAGAAGACACTTTCGACCAACCGCCTTCCTCTTGAAACACCCGAGATAAGCGAACCGTTGCTCGAACCCATCGAGCAACGACAGCCTGTAATCTCATTAAACTCGGCGGTCTTTTATATCAAGCGGGAACACGAGCCGAGGAGCTCGTTGATTCTTCCCGATAATCCTCGGCGTTGCGCGAAACTTGGACTTTAATCG